GTGTGTGTGTGTAAATCATGAATTCATATTAATATCTCCAATTCAAATACATCATATAGTTCTTTTTATCTTTTCCCCTACTCCGTATTTGTATCTCCCAACTCCCACAGTGAGAACCCTGGTTCTCAACATCAATATAATTACTTATTTATCCTATCCTACAATACATCCAAAATAATTTCAGATTACTACACCAATATTAGTATTGAGTTGGTATTATTAATACTATTTCAGTAAGTTTTCTCTGCCCTTCAGGATGATAATCTTTCAACCATTCATTCCCTTAAGTAATTATTGTATTCAGAATAGCAAATTCCTTCCATCTGTGGAACATAATTAAGAGTAACTCAGGCCATATGTGGTACAGCCTTGCCCTTAGAGATCTAGATCTAATTCCATGGCCTACGTGGAAGACCAGAGCTTTTTCTCTTGGGCTTCTGCAAGCTCCCGTGTTGGGAAAATATAGGAAAACGGTCAGGACCCTCAGATGTTCAGAATCTTGCCAAGCATTTGATGTAAATAGGCACATGCGCTCAGGTGTTCCTTGGTTATCGTCTAGTGTAATTGGGCATGTGCACCCAGGTGTCCTGAGTTATGGACTTAAGTATAAAAGATGAGTGGCTCTGGGCCTCAGAGTCTTCCATCCCTGGGATGCCCCCCAGGGGGAGGTCACTACTGCTGCAGGCCGCTGCTGCTAGTGCCCCTGGGGCCCTCCGCAAGGCCACCAGCACCACTGGACCTGTAAGCTACCAGACCTGAAAGCTGCTGCCGCTGAGGAAGCTGAGGACTGAGCTTGCGTCGTATGCCAACAGCTCCCAGAATCTTTCCCAATTACCTAGCATGCATGTGAGGGGTCTGGTGACCCAGTCTGTACAATGGGTTTGAAGAGTCTGAGCCCTAGCTCTGACAATATAAATGGAAACTCAGTATAACTAAAATAACAAAAATATTTTGGCTTTAGTTATGATTTGCCTAGCTTTACATCCTGGTGATTTCCTTCCCCAGGTCTGATTCTGCAACACTGTACCCTGAAAAGGAGACTCACAGACCTTCAAGATCCCCCCAAATAATCTACTCTTGCAGAGATTTCATGAACCAGCAGACTTTGCTGACAACCTCCCAGGAAAGATGGTAGAGAGGATAATAGTGCAAATTCACAGCTTTCACAGGTACAGCAGGCATCGCCAATCTCAAAGAGCCCCCAGCCACATCCCGCTGTGGCATTTATTTTACTGGTCTTTCAGCTCAATCTGGTTTCTTGCTCTCCTTCCCACTGTTCTTTCCTCTTCTACCTTCTCTCTCCTCTCTGCTATTAGGATCAAAAAAGTATAATTCTTCTCCCTCTGTCAAGCAGAGCAACCTCCTTTTCTGAAGCCTTGTTCAAGGCATTCTCAAAACAAAGACAGCCTTCTTCCTAAGAGGAACTACAGTGAATAAAATTTCCTCCGCCTCATTACACATACAAGGGTTGGAATCTTTTTAAAGCTCGGTTAGTTATAAATTGCAAACAAGTAGCTGCAAAACTCTCTAAAGATGAGTCTGTCCATTTACTCAGCTAATGCCCCACAGAACCGGGTCACCAGATGGCTCAAGCTGCCCAGGATCTTCTCACTCTGGGAACCTCCAGCTTCCAGAGCTACCTCCTCATGTCTTCCACTATCCTCCCACCCTCACCAGATCTCCTCCACATGAGCAGCCACCACCTCACTCTCTCTCCCAGGACACCAGCCAAGGGTCTTGGGAAAGAAACAGTGTTTTGTAGACATGAGCCATGTTCTGTGTACTGAGCCCAGAAGTGAGGAGGAGGTTGGCCCTCCCGGTGTCCCACAACTCACAGGGGAGGGACACAGGTAAGAGACTTTCCTCTCGGTGCTTCTAATTTCTCATTGTGTTGGTGGAGATGACGTTGCTATACAACCTGCCTATGAGGGTGTAGTGGATTTAATTATGTCCCCCCAAACTCACTGAAGCTTGAATTGTGTCCCCAAAGTTTTATGTATTAGAAACTTGGCCCCCACTGTGACTGTTACGAGGGTGGGAAATCCTATTATGGCAATTGAAAGGCGGAGCCTTGAAGAGATGATTGGATTGTAGGACCATGACGTAGGGAATGGATTAAAAATGGTGGTCAGGGTGTGGTTCTGAGGGCTTTATAAAGAGATTGAATGAGAAGCTCTCTCTTTCTCCTATCATCTTGCTATGTGAGACCCCTGGGTCACTGTCACCACCACCAGATGGACTTTGGACTTACCAGTATCAGAAACTGTAAGCAATAAATTTTATTTTCTTATAAATTACCCAGTTCCATGTATTTTGTTATATGCAACAGAAACAGACTAATACAGAGGGTTAAGACCACTGCATTGCTGCCTGGAGGTCCCGTTCATGACCCTTCCAGAGTTTTTAGGGCCTAGAAGTTCTTCTGTGGGCAGAAACTTTCTAAAACCTGGTAGGTAGCCCTGGAAACAATCCCCAACTGGGGTGCATCAGGGAGGGGAGGAGCAGCTCTTCCTGGGAAGACTATCAGAATCTCTGATGAGGGGAAGGAACATGGGAAATTTGAAAAAATTCTAAAATTGCTGTTGCCTTGGTTCTTTTCTTTCTTTTTTTTTTTTTTTTATAAAGATGACCGGTAAGGGGATCTTAACCCTTGACTTGGTGTTGTCAGCACCATGCTCAGCCAGTGAGTGAACCGGCCATTCCTATATGAGATCCGAACCCGGGGCCTTGGTGTTATCAGCACCGCACTCTCCCGAGTGAGCCACAGGCCGGCCCACCTTGGTTATTTTCTAGTCATTAAATATTTAAGTTGCTTTGCCATTTCAATTAATAGTTTTTAAAAAAAGGTATAAGATTGTTTTTATTTACAGATAGGAAAAAAAAGGATAAAAATGGTTTAGTGATGTACCAGAATGTTGAGGTCTTTCAAGACACAAGAGGTAGAGAAAGACATGGTTCAGGAAGACAGAAGTAAAATGAAATGGTCTCAGAATGGGAGGAGGGTCAACTGGGCAAAGGAAGGGTTGAGCCCCCTGGCACAGGCAGCACGCTGCCTTGTAGCTGCTCATCCAACCCCAAGGCGCCTGCCTGCCCGTGGTAATCTGAAGAGCGCTGAAATACTCCCTACCTCCCAAGTCTCCCTCACCATTTCTCAAGGTGCCTCTAACTCTACCATTAGTACCTCTATCCTTTTAGTTAAACACTGGCCTCTGCTGACTCCTCCATCAAGCAAGTGGCATTTACATTGGGATTTTAGGAATGCAACTGTATCTAGTTTTGCATAGGTCTGGAACTTTCTAGAATGACACATTACCTAGGCTAGGTAAGTAGTTTCTCTAGTTTGGTGCTCTTCCAGATTTTTATGTAATCACAGTATTTACTCCTTAGGAGAACCCAGACAGAGCCTAGAAGTACAGCAGCCTTGCCCTTAAGAGGTGGTAGCCCAGAAGGGCAAATAAGGCCAGCCAGTAAAATGCAGGAGCCCTTTGTTCTTGCTGAGATGCAGTAGGAAGCTACATAGCAGGGTGATTCCCACATTTCACATTACTGGGTTGCTCCCTCAGGTACACTGGGGTGGTTCAGGCCCAGATGCCCAGCATCTGTGCTTCCTTCTATCATGACTTTTCTCTCCCAGAGCTGGTCAACTCCAGAGCTGAGTAAGCCAATGCTCAGCACAGAGAAGATGTGCAGTGAAGTGCTGTCCATTCAGGAACCTCACTCAGAGGTTCAATGGCTTGCCTCAGGGTATGTGAGAACACAGGGCAGGAGCTCAGCCTTCTGCCAGCTAAGTAATCTTGGGTAAGTTCCCTAAACTCACATTACCTGAACGGGAATGCAAAGTGGCTGAGAATAAGGGTCTGGAGACAAGCGTTCCTGGATTCATACCCTAGCTCCACCATTCAGCAGCACTGTGTGCACGAGACTTAACTTCTGTTTCTTCATCTGTAAAATGGAACTTATAATAGCATCCACCTCTTAGGGTTGCTTTGAGTTAATCTGATGAACTAACGCATGTAAAATACTTACAAACTGCCTTTGCGCACAGTGTTTAACAAATATTTGATGTTTTATATGTACATGCTTTCCTACCCACATTTGTGAAGATATCTAAAAAGCCCATAAAGGCACACTTCTAAGGATGGCTAAAATAAAATTTTTAAATTTGACAATAGCAAATGTTGATGAGGAAGTGGAGCAACTGGAACTCTCACACATTGCTGAAGGAAATGTAAAAATATACAGCCACTTTCAACAAGAGTTTGGCAGTTTCTGATAAAGCTGTGAGTCAGCAATCCCATTCCTAGTTATTTACTCAAGAGAAATGAAAGCATATATCCACACAAATAATGTTCATAGCAATTTTATTCATAATAGCCAAAAAAGGAAAAGAATCCAGGTGTTCATCGATAAGTGGATGAATAAACAAATTCTGGAACATCCTTTCAGCAAAACACTACTCAGAACAAGAAGGGATGAACTACTGACACATGCAACCGAGCTCAATCTCAAAAGCATTATGTTGAGGAAAAGAAACCAGACACAAAATGCTGCATACTGTAGGATACCATTTATATGACATTCTGTAAACAGCAAAACAATAGAAATAGAAAACAGAAGAGCAGTTGCCAGGGGCTGAGGGTAGGGGGGAATCTGTAGTGTTTGAACTTTTTTAATGAGTATATAATTTATGTCCTTCGTAATAATTTCATGAAAGTTTTAAATAATGGTAATCACAATGCTATATACCTTAAAGGGGTGTTATGAGATCTAAATGAAATAATGTAAAAGAGCACACAACACAGTCAATGAACCCAGACAGACAGACAGACACAACAGATATAGGTAGAGATATCTGTTACCTTCCTCTCACTGCCCACATCCCCTATCCTCTTCACTTCCCCATCCTCACCCTCCCTGGGTCTTCAGATGACTCACACATTCTAAAGTGACAACATACAAAGGCCAAAGGGGCTCCACAGAGAGTGACAGCCATGACTTACCTCAGTGACAAAGAGTGTGCGAGGGTCGATGATATCCAAGAAGTGCCTGAAGCGGCCGTAGAAGGATGTCTGGAGAAGCGGGTGGGAGAGGAGAGAAGATCAGCAGCTGTACACCATCCTCCAGACAAGGGGGGACCCTCCCCACAGCTCACCCTTATCATTGGGGTTCCCCAGTCCCCATGACCCCCCATGTGGGTGATGAATACCAATGACGCCTCACTGCTCAGGGACCTGAAGGCAGCTTTCCCAGGCCAAGATTTCCTACAGTCAACTCAGAGAGACCATTAAGATACTCAGTAACTGTGACTTCCATTTTTCTCCTTCTGTCCCAGTACCCTGAGCTCTGCTCTGAGCCTTTGAGAAGCTCACAAGCACCACTGGGCATGCACGCTAAGGTGAAGCCTAGCCCTCAGCCCTCTCTCCCACCCTCCCTGCCTTGCTTAGGGCCTCTTGAGTGACAGAGTGTCCTGCATACCCTTCACAGGGTCCCTCTCTAGGTCCAGCTCTGCCCCTAGGGGAAAGCTCCCAGAGGCAGAGCCCAAGCATAGCAGTGCAAAGCTCACAGTCCCCAGGCCCTCCTTCACCTACAGGCCTGGAGCTGCTGTGAGTCAAAGGATGAGGGGCCAGCTTCCCCCAGCCTTACCCCAGAACAGGGGCCCTGGAAAAGGAGGGCTTTGTGCTAAGCAGGCCACAGGCATTAGAGCACAATGAAAGGAAACCAAGCAACGCTGCAGCTGGGCCTTCTGCTCTAGGGACAAAGCCAGTTGGGCAAAGCCAAGCTCAAGGGGAGGAGAAAGGGTGCCAAGCTCAGGGATGAAGAGGAAAGCTGCAAACGCTGGGGGTTCATGCCTCACTACACTCTGGGCACTGCCCCAAATTCCTCCCTGGAGCTCTGCAGCTCTGCAAGCACCACCCTCTGCACATGGAGGAAACAGAAGCTTCCACATTCCCTTTCCTTGCTCACTAGGACACTTGATCCTGCAGTTAAATTCTGCTCCTTCCCCTTCCCAACAAAGACCCTGCAATAGGCCCCAGGCCACCTCAAAGTCCCACACACATCAGGCCCCATCTCGTCTTCATTTCTCTGCTCGCTGTACCACCCCTACGTGGAGCAGCCTCTCTGCCCCCTAAATCCACCTCATATAGGTGCTGCCTTTCACAGACCAGATCAAGCTTCAGCACCATTCCTAAAGAAGATGGTTGCTTCTCTAACCCTTATAACTCGAATGGCCCAAACCACTTCCCCATTGAAGACTTAAATACTTGATGGTCATACAGCGGTCCTAGCAAAATTTCACCTCTAAGAATTTAGACTACGGAAATAATCAGAGATGCTCAGAGACGTGTTCAGAAGGTATATGCCAAGGACGTTCACTGCTGCATCATTTACAAAGGTGGACGGTTAAATAAATGATGGTCCATTCATATGACTGAATACTATGTGGCCATTTAAAATCATGTTTTCAGACAACATTATGACATGGAAAAGTGCTTATGATTTTGTAAAATGCATATAAGCAGTGTGATTCCAACTTAATAAAGAAGATAAACAGAGCTAGATAAATACTAAATGAAGAGCAAAGAGACCAAATAACATCCAGATCCTGGTCCACTCAAAGGAAAAGGGCTCCTTAGAGAAGTGGCTGAACCCAGACCCGGAGCAGGGAAGGTACACGGTGAAACTGGTACAGAATTTTGCACCAGAGAGGAATGAAGTGCCACCCCCAAAATGATGGCGACATGTTAAAAGGATCACTGAGGGGCAGATGGACATTGTGAGCCTCTGATGTGATACCCTAAGAAGTCCACAGCTTCATTTACATAGTATTCTGGACAGGCTGAATCTAATCATGAGGAAACATCAGACAAACCCAAATTCATGAGCATTCCACAAAATAACTGGCCATGTTCATCATAAATGTCAATGTCACACAAGGAACAACTGACAAACTGTTCCACATTAAAGGAAACTAAAGAGAAAACGCACCGTGTGGGGCCGGCCTGTGGCTCACTCGGGAGAGTGCGGTGCTGATAACACCAAGGCCACGGGTTCGGATCCCATATAGGGATGGCCGGTTTGCTCACTGGGTGAGTGTGGTGCTGACAACACCAAGTCAAGGGTTAAGATCCCCTTACCGGTCATCTTTTTAAAAAAAAAACAAAAAAAACCAAAAAAAAAACGCACTGTGTGATTCAGGACTGGATCCTGGACTAGAGGGGAAAATGCTTTCAAGGGCATTATTGAGACAAGTGCCAAAATTGGAATATGGACCATAGATTAATAAAAGTATTGTATCCATGTTAAATTTCTTGAATATAATATCTGTTCTGTGGTTATGTAAGAGAATGTTCTTGCTTGTATGAGATGTACACCGAAGGTTGAGTATTAAGGGATGAGTAAATGTAACCTACTCTTCAATGGTTGAAGAAAAATAGCGTATGTAAATATACAGGGAAGCCATAAAATCTGGAAATGTAGGTACTATAGTTTTATTTATTTACAGTTCAAAGATGTCATTGATGATACTATTATTGCTATGTTTCCAGACTTTGTGATCACATGCAGAGAAAGAAAATAATAAAGGAAATGTGATCAAATGTTAAAAACTGGTGGGGGCTGGTCAGTTGGCTCAGTTGGTTAGAGTGCAATGTTATAACACCAAGATGAAGGGTTCAGATCCCCATGCTGGCCACCTGCCAAAAAACACAAAAAAAAACAGAACAAAAACTTGTGGATCTAGGCAAAGGGTATATGGAAGCTTTCCTTACTCTTCTTGCAACTTTTCTGTAAGAATGGAAGTGTTTTAAAACAAAAAGTTAAAAATTATATTTTTTTTAAAAAGCCAGATGAAAATACATTAACATGTGACAGTGACTGCCTCTGGGAATTAAATTGTGGGTAATTTAAATTTCTATATCTTTTAAAATTAGAAAAAACTAATATTATATATATGGATGTAATATTCTATTTTTAAAAATATAATCGAATTAAAATACAAGCTGGTACTTTAAGTAACATACTTGATTGTAAGCTTCTGAAGGACATGAGTTTGTTGGACATTCCTTCCTTATCCTCCAGAGTTCTTAGTCGTACCTAGAAGTGGCTCCACAGATACTCCTGCCTTGTTAATGAATGAGTGGGCTGATGAGCAGCCAATGACCTCCAGGCCTCCTGGAGAGGGTGGAGTCCAGGCTGGGCTTTAGGAGGGTGGGATCAGAAAAGGATAGGGGCCGGCCCGGTGGCGCACTGCTACAGTGCGCTGCTTGGGAGCGCGGCAGCGCTCCCGCCGAGGGTTCGGATCCCACATACAGACCGGTTCCCACTCACTGGCTGAGCGAGGTGCGGGCGCAGCACCGAGGGTTGCGATCCGTTGCCGGACACGAAAAAAGACAAAAAGGAAAAAAAAAAAAAGAAAAGGATAACAGGAGGGCACCTAGTGGTCCAAGGAGGGAAGAGGATTGGCAGGGGCAGAGGTAAGACTCTGGAAGGAGAATAGCTGGAGAAATGCAACTTCTTGAAGATGGTCCAGCAGAAACTTCCAGCCTCTGACATGCCCTGTGGCCTGGCACTGTTGTGATCCTGTCCCAGCCCTGCCAGCCCACTGTGTCGCTTTTGACCATAGGCACTGGGGGAGAGTCCCAGATAAAGCATTCTGCCCCAATAGACATCTACAAACTCCCACTGAGCTAAACTCAGAGAACACCACAATGAACAAGCCCTCAAGGAGCTTAGATCCCATAAAGATAAACAATTACAAACAAATAAGTAAACAAATAACTACAAAACACTGTGATCAATGCTTAAATGGGGCATCATGAAGTGCATTGAGGACACAGATTTCTTCCTATTTCTTTCCAGAATGAGTCCAGGAGGCATCCCAGAGGAACTGGGACAGGGAGGTGGATGAGTTTACCAAGCAAAGAAGGGTACAGGCAAGAGTATGATGGCACAGAGGCTGGGATCGGAAACTGCACCAGATTCCTGGGGTCTCTCCATTCATTCACTATTCAACTAGCTCTTAAGAACCTACTGTGTGCCCAGCTCTGTGCTAGGTCCTGGGGGCTCCCTCTGAGGCTGACTGACTGTGGGGGAAAAGAGGATGAATAAAGAGTTACAGATGATGCCTAGATTTCTAGGTAGACAGGAATGTCAATCAACCAGGGTAAGGAAAGTAGGAAGCACAGGAAAGTGAGAAGCACACTGATTCGGTGAAGAAGATAAAAAGTCCTGTATTGGTCACATAAGTCTGAGATGCTTAAAGGGCCTTCCAGATGTAAATTTTCAATAAACACTTGGAAATATAGCCCTGAGATTTAAGAAAGGGGTTCTGAGTTGGAAATGCTAAGCACAGATGATAGTGTCCTAGCCCAATCAGCCTAAGATCTCCAGGGACAAACCTATAATCTGAAAAAGTCAGGTTGGTTCACTGCACACAGTCGAAGAACTCTCTCACCAAACAAACAAAAAAAGATTGAGTTAATATAGAATTTTGAGTAAAGGTGGAGTAAAATTTAAATGAAGCAGTGACTCAATAGGCTCAAAGTAAAGCAAGGCTATGTAGAAAGAGGTCAACATAGGTCTGAACTGACAAGTGCACACAGGGTCTTGTTTCCTTGGAAACTATAAAATTAAGATTAATGTGGAATGTTGGGACCAGAAACCTCTTATTTAAAGCTAAGCACTTGGGTTGATTCTCTGAGGCAAAGTGGCTTAGATCTGCCAATCAAGAGGTGGATGTTTCATTCCTATTATATGACTTCAAACAGCAAAATTTCTGGCAGTCTATGATCTTAGAGAACGAGATTTCACAAGAATGAAAGAGTGGTTACTCAAAGAAAGGGCTGTTCTGATAGTTTATAGCTGCAGCGGGTCCTTGCGAGAAACATCGTTTCTTTGCAGCTGGCTTTATCTGTGCCTGTCCTCCGGTCTGATGAGTGGCCAGGAAGGTTTTTACTTTCTAGGTCTGAGTTTTTATTTTCTCAATAGTTTGAAATGTATGGCCTCATTTTACCTCCAAAAACTCAGCCCCCGTCTTTACCTAATCACAGAGTCTGTGGATATTTCTCCT